TCTCCGCAGCCCGGGAGGCTGGAGTCGGCCCCGGGGAGCCTTAGGGCACCTTCCAGGGCTGTGTGTGCCGTGTGCACGCGCGCGTGTGTGTGTGTGTGCGCGCGCGCGTGTCTCGCTCTCTCCTTCAGTCTGTGCCTCTGTGTGTGTGTGTGTGTGACAGAGCGAGAGAGCAAGAGGGAGAGAGAGAGAGAGGGGAGAGAGAGAGCAAGAGAGAGCGAGGGGAGAGCAAGAGAGAGAGCGAGCGAGGGCGAGAGCGAGCGAGCGAGCCGGGAGCCGAGCCGCCGCCGCCGCCGCCGCCGCTGCCCTTTGATCCCGACTTAGTGTTAGGGGCTCGGAGACACCGCGCGCGGCCATCCCCGCCGCGCACCGGCGCGCACTGACCGATCCCTCCCACCCCACGCGAGCCCCGGACACGCACACACTCACTCACACCTATGAGATCCGATTCCATTGAGGAATATTACGCTCGGGGGACAAGCCAGGTGCACGACCAAACAGAAAAAAATTAGAGAGAAAGAGAGAGAGGGGGAGCGAGAGAGAAGAAACCCGCTCCGGGCTTCAGGAAACAAGCTTCCATCCTCTTATTTTTTCACCTTTTTTTTTTCTATTTTTCGCACACATCGGAGAGAAGGGGGGACCCCCCCGCCCGCCCGCCCGCCCCCTGCCTCCCCGGCCCTGCCCGTGGCGGCCTCCGTGCCCCCACGGGGGTTTATTTGATCTCCCATTAACCGAGGAGGAGAATGTGAGGAAGGGGGAAAATGCCCCGGAGGAAGCAGGAGCAGCCCCAGCGCCTTCCCTCACGTAAGTCACCCCTTCCCCGCCGCGCCCGGCCCTGCCCGGCCCTGCCGCCCGGCCCCGCCGCAGCCCCGCCGTTGTTTGCGGCCTCAGTTTAGGGTTACAGAGGTGAAGCCGACAAAGACACAGCCCGGGTTACTCCTCGCCGAGGCAGCCATGTTGGTGATGATCAGCCCCGTGCCCTTTCCATTCGCTCGCTTTTTTCTTTCTTTCTCTCGCCCCCCCTCCCGCCCTCCCTCCCCCCTCCTCCTCCTCCTCCTCTTCTTCTTCTTTTTTTTCCTCCCCCTTCCTTGAGATCGGGCCTGCCCCCCTCCTCCCCCTCCCCACTCCGGGTGGCGGGGGAGGGGGCCGCGCGGACGCCGGCTTTATCGGGGTGTCTGTGTTGGGGGGGGTGGGAGAGGTGGCGAGCTGCCCACGAGAATTCCCGGCGGCTCCCCGCGCCCTGCGGGTGCGGGGCCGGGGCGCGCGGGGGGTCGGGGGCCG